TTTTTTTTTTTTGTTTTTTTTTTTTGTTTTTTTGTTTTTTATTTTTTTTTCTTTATTTGTTCTATTGTTTGTTTTTTATTTTATTTTATTTTTTATTTTTATTATTTAGTTTTTCTTTTGTTTGTTTTGTTTTATTTGTTTTATTGTTCTGTTTCTTTTTGTTTTGTTTTGTTTTGTTGTTTGTTTGCTGCTACTACTACTACAACTACAACTGCTGCTGCTGCTGCTGCTGTTGCTGCTGCTGCTGCTGCTGCTGCAACACTCCTACTACTACAACTACGACTACAACTGCTGCTGCTGCTGTTGCTGCTGCTGCTGCTGCTGTTGCTGCAATACTACTCCTCATACTCCTACTACAACTACAACTGCTGCTGCTGCTGCTGCTGCTGCTGCTGCTGCTGCTGTTGCAGGGATTCTGAGTTGCTGCAGGGTGTATTTGATAAGAACCAGTTCGGCAGCAGCAGCGGGGGGCTGCTGCACTCTGTCTTTTTGCTGCTGGGGGGGAGAGCAGCATCCATGCTGCAGCAGTGCCTCTCCGCCTTGTTCTCCTGCTTCCTCAAAATGTAGTAAGGGTTTAGGGTTTAGGGTTTAGGGTTTAGGGTTTAGGGTTTAGGGTCTGCTTTGTTCTCCTGCTTCCTCAAAATGTAGTAAGGGTTTAGGGTTTAGGGTTTAGGGTTTAGGGTTTAAGGTTTAGGGTTTAGGGTTAAGGGTTTAGGGTCAGCTTTGTTCTCCTGCTTTCTCAAAATGTAGTAAGGGTTTAGGGTTTAGGGTTTAGGTGTTAGGGTTTAGGGTTTAGGGTTTAGGGTTTAGGGTTTAGGGTCTAGGGTTTAGGGTTTAGGGTCTAGGGTTTAGGGTTTAGAGGTTAGGGTTTAGGCTCCGCCTTGTTCTCCTGCTTCCTCAAAATGTAGTAAGGGTTTAGGGTTTAGGGTTTAGGGTTTAGGGTTTAGGGTTTAGGGTTTAGGGTTTGTGTCTATCTGCATGCTATTGCTGCTGCTGCTCTTTCCCTCCCTCCCCCTGAACCACCACGATCACTGTTTCTTCTTCTTCTGCTGCTGCTGCTTCTGCTGCTGCTGCTGCTCTGCTGCTGCTGCTTCTGCTGCTGCTTCTACTGCTTCTGCTGCTGCTGCTGCTCTGCTGCTTCTGCTTCTGCTGCTGCTGCTGCTGCTGCTGCTGCTGCTGCTGCTGCTGCTGCAGCGGAGCAACAACATCTCCTGCTGACTTTGTGTTGCGGGGTGAGGGGCTGCAGCAGCGCGCAGCTTTAATAAAAAGAGTAATAGAAGCAGGAAGCTTTATACAAGAGCAATTTCTTTTTCGTTTGTCTGCTTGTCTTGGTTCTGCTGCTGATGCTGCTAATCAAAGACTGCAGCACAGAGTTGCTGCTGCTGCTGCTGCTGCTGCTGCTGCTGATGCGGATGCTGTAGCAGCAAAAAGCAGAACTGCAGCAGCTGCAGCAGCAGCAGCAGCAGCAGAAAATGTTAAAGCGAAACGAGAAAGACAAGTCAAACAGGAAACTGGATTTGCTGCTGCAGCAGCAGCAGCAACAGCAGCAACAGCAGCACCAGCAGCAACAG